AGCCAGCGATGTGTGTAAAGAGCATATAACTCCGGGCCGCTACGGGCGCGAGGTGCGTGCACCGGGGGCTTTATACGAGCTTTCGGAAAAAAACCAGCTTTTAGTTTTGAGCTTCCCGTCGGCAGACATTGTTAAAATAAAACAATCGTTTTGTTTTTTTTGTTTAACTTATTTGGCTAGAATTCGAAAATCTGTTTCTGTTTTTAAACGTATTATTTAAATGATTAAAATGCATTTACGTAGACATGTCCACAGAAAAACGGATTATAATTTCAATTAAAATATAAAAAAAAATTACATTAATGACACAAAAGTTTTTTTTTTCATAGTTTTTTTGTCACGAAACGTATTTTATTAAGGAACACATCGTCGTATATTAACAAAACTATTTGTATATTTACCAATTAAAATAAACCGAACGATGATTATAATTATTCAACATATCGACGCTTGAAAGGCAAACGTGACTAAGCGACAATGCGTGAACTTTACAGTAGACTAATTTAAAGTTGATACTAATTTAAAATAGCTTAATAATAACTACTAGAGGTCCCGCAGTAGTCGAAATTCGACTAAAATTTATTGGAATTGTAAGTTTGTACACTATTATGATTGTATTTTATACTTCTATAATCACTAATTTCACCAAGACAACACTATAAAAATATTAAGAAAGACAAACAATATTTAATCTATTCTCAATTTGACAACAGACGTCAAGAACAAAAGTTTTACAATAAATAGTATGCATGCGTGTGTGCGTCAAATACATGGTATGTAGTGTGTGTAATGTTTTCTTTATTGATTTAATGTATCTTTTATGTATTATTTAAAAAAAAATAGTAGCATTGTGCACTTCTTCTCTATATTCTCTATAAGTGTGGAAAATTTCATACTCCTCCGTACGCGCAATTTTCGTAAAAAGGGATACAAAGTTTTTGCTTCACGTATTAATATATAGATTAACTAATAATAGCTTAAAATTCTATTTTAACGAATCTAGCTGTAGGATTGAAATTATTTTAATAGACCTAGAAATATATTTTTTTGCGCATCGAATATGGTTATTGCCTATAATTTATGTATAAAGCAGTTATTGTCGCTTAGTCACGTTTGCCTTTCAAGCGTCGATATGTATATTCATAAAAAAAAAACTATCTACAGCTAATTAGTATAACAAATTGAATTTAACAATAGATACGAAAAAGTCGCAGCTGCGTGGTTCAGTGTTGCGTGAAACTCGGCGATTACGGCGGTTCTTCAAATAACGACATCTGAACAAATAAATTGATGGTTTTTTTCTCTAATGCGTCGCTTAAAAAATGCATTTACCTCGTTTTTAGGCAGGCTCGTGCTGTTTGCACGCCCGTGCGATATAGAGAGCAGCAATTTAGTTCAATTTATTATGATTAAATGTATTCGTAAATAAAACCTAGCTCCGATCCAACGTATAAGCAACATCATCATTTATTATTTCCATACTGTTGATGGTATTATGTGTATGTAAGTATATTAGTATGTATTGTATGTAAGTATGCATATTGGTATATATTTTGTTTATTGTATGTATATATTTTCCATAATAATGTATTATCTATAGTACACCGCAACATACCGGCTATGTTTTTACATTTTCTAGTATTTCTGTAAATTAAACGGTTGTCTAGGAGAGATCGCTTTTAGCGATAAGACCGCCTATTGTAGAAATATATCTGCTTTTTTTTAATGTTTTTTTTAAAAATGTAAATTGTGTTTTGGTGTGCAATAAAGTGTATTCTCTCTCTCTCTCTCTCTAAGCAACGTTGACGGTCATACAAAATCGGAGGTTTGATTATAAGACACACTTTAGTCAAAGGAGCAAGCTTTACCCAAAATATCTTGGTCCTCATAATATCGTCAAGGAAAAGAAAAATGACACAGATACAGCTTAATTAATGAAGATTGGGGATGGAAAAAACACGCTACATACGACTAGTTCTGCTGATTTTATGAGCATTTATTAATGCTAGCCTATCCTTTAAATCCCGAAAACTTTGAAAACGGGCCTTATAAATTTACAGTTAGAATGGTAAGATTTAGACGATTGATTATAAAAGTTAAAGTGAGAAGATCGTTAAGTATATTTATCTTCTATATGTTAGTGTTACGAGAAACGAAGGCAATCCTAAAATACTGGAAGGTTTAGGTTTAGTTTACGGAAATTATTTCAACATAATCATATTGCAATTTTAGTTTTTTTTTTTTTCGATGCTTGAATAAATTCCCATTTTGATGTTTCTGGAGAGTTGACATGCATTTCTCCCAACGCAACGTATAGAGAACATTAACAGTTAGCAACGACATCTGTACCCTTGGCATTGCTGATGTCCATAGGCGGCTGTCAACACAGTTGTCTGTTCGATAAAAATACATAAATCTTAAATCTAATAGTTTGCGAATCCATTACAGATTAAATCTAAACAGATTATTTTACGATGACAATAGAATAATCCTTTTGTATTCTAATAGGAACGTGTGGTTTAATCTATATCTGATTGGATGGGGCGCTGTCAGAAGCAGAGTTCGCTTTTTAAATGCAGCCCGCTTATTGGTCGGTTAAGGTTTATAAATGTTTTTCTTTATTTTAATCAGATTAGAATTTATTCGTTTTTGTTTTTCAAATAATGTAATAATAGAGATGATTCGCGTATAATTTAATTCGAATTCACGGAAACTGTTTGAATTTCTTTTTAAATTGTTGTTTGGAATAGTTTTTTTTATTCGTTGGTAGCCCAGGACTATTCCAGTTACGCACGGACTAGTGGGTGAGCTCACGGGCTAAGCTTGAGAACATTCTCTGATTGTCGCGATTTTATGTCTAAACCAACGAACTGTTTTTGAAGAAATTGCGCATGGAAATAGCTTGAGTTCTAAAAAAGAATATAGGCTAGCTTCCATTCCACTGCTGAGTAAGGGTTTCTGTCCACGCGGGCTCCAGTAAGAAGTCTATGCAATATGAAACAAATATATATATACAAGGAATACATGTCTATACTTGTGCGTTGTTTGTCAGATATAATTGAAGCTGTAAATTCTTAATGGCACACCAGGAAACTTTGTCATAGATCAGATGTCATCGAAGCAGACCTAACAATTCGTTCCAATAAGTTAGGTATTCTCTTCTATACTTAGACAATATGTGTTACTGTTACTGTTTTTATATACTATACTGTTTTTATAAATTAATGATACTCCATGTCTTTCTCTGTGCTTTTGGCAATGTGTATCAAAAATACTAGAATGTCCCGTTGTGTTAATAAGACGTGAAATCGTCGAACAAACAAACACAATCACTTTCTCATTTATAAGTTATTAGGTCAATATTGCAACTCAGTCTCACGTCAAAATACAGTTCAAAACGTTAAGGTTCATCCAAAATTATGTTATTATTATGTTACAATTAAAACAACTTATAAGGTTTAATTTAGCGTTTTTTTGTATTGCCGACGTTTAGAAATAAAATAATGACTACGAAAAGTGTTAAGTGCAAATAAAACAATATGTATGTATATCTATGGTATTTGTGTATCTATTTATGTGTATATATATATATAATATATTTCACTGGATTGGTACACCGCAATTAATTCGTTTCCAAATGATTCTTGTTCACTTGATGGTTGTCTGGAAGAGATCGCTCTTAGCGATAAGACCTTGAGACCTTAGAATTTATATCTCAAGGTGGGTGGCGTATTTGCGTTGTAGATGTCTATGGGCTCCAGTAACCACTTAACACCAGGTGGGCTGTGAGCTCGTCCTCCATCTAAGCAATAAAAAAATTAAAAAAACAAAACCGCCAATTGTACTTTTCTTTTGTATTTAATGTATCGCATTGTTCATTTATTTTTTGGAGTACAATAAAGAATATTCTCTCTCTCTCTCAAAGCAAGGATTAAGCGATAAAAGTAGCTGTTTTAATTACCTATATCTACGACTTTTACAACTACAACGCTAAGACTGATCAAATACTATTATTATTATTCTGTTTTTAAATAACGCGTGCTCACTCAAACATCGCTTTGTTATTCACGGCCCGCACAGGTACCTACCTACCGTTGTGTACAAAATATTTTACGCATAAACCGTTTAATCTTCGCCTCCGCCGGTCAAAACACCAGAAAACGACCCTCTTTTCATTACCAACGTAATACAAAAAGGAGCTGTAAAGAACGGACGTTATAACCCGAACGCGACCCGCCCCGCGCCGGCGGGAAAACACATTTCCTCCGTCGCCATGGCAACGCGAAAACAGATATTATACCTAGGGACATCGATGAATATATAACTATATCGTGCCAAAATAGACATACATAACGCTCTGTCTGTGTGTGGCAGGATTTCACGCATGCGTGCTTTTCGGCGAAAGTAGATAGATATTGGGGTTTTTAGGCCCTGTAATGGGGTGAGGCGGTTACGGGGGGGGGGGCGATGGGAGTCCCTTAATCTGTCCCTTTGAGGCTGCCGATTGGAATTTAGTAATCATATTAGATTTTAAATTACACGTACATGTAAGTTAAAAGGGTGGAGAGGCAATTTGTTTCCTATTAGATAGTTGTTTGGCAAATGTTAAAGGCTTGGAAAGCGGGCCGGGAATTATCCTGTTTCATTACATACGAGATATATTTACAAAATAAAAACAATTAAATGAGCTTTTTTTTTATTGCTTAGATGGGTGGGCGAGCTCACAGCCCACCTGGTGTTAAGTGGTTACTGGTGCCCATAGACATCTACAACGTAAATGCGCCACCCATCTTGAGATATAAGTTCTAAGGTCTCAGTATAGTTACAACGGCTGCGCCACCCATCAAACCGAAACGCAGTATTGCTTCACGGCAGAAATAGGCGGGGTGGTGGTACCTACCCGTGCGGACTCACAAGAGGACCTACCATCAGTGAAAATTTCTGTAACTTTTTAACTCAAACAAATAAAGAATAATGAATAAAGAACAATGATCATTCAGGTGTCATCAATAAACCGAGTACTACGGAACCTGGCCTCGCAGAAGGAGCAAGCGGCATCAGCGCAGAACGATAGCGTGTATGAGAAACTAAGAATGTTCAATGGTCAAGCGGCGACTGGATGGTGGTATCCAGGGTTACCCACCGCGCCGACCGCACCGGCGATACCAGCCCCACTGCCCCCTCAACTCAGGACCACAACAGAAGAGCAAAAACGAGGTTAGTGTTAAATAAAATAAAAAAAATGGTTACATGGGTGGACGAGTTCACAGCCTATCTAGTATTAAGTGGTTACTGTAGCCCATAGACATCTACAACGTAAATGCGTGACCCACCTTGAGATATGAGTTCTAAGGTCGCAGTATAGTTACAACCGCTGCCCCACCCTTAAAGCCGAAACGCATTACTGCTTCACGACAGAATTAGGTGGGGTGGCCCCACCACCAGTAAAAGTAAAGTATAAACAATTATATGATTGGTATTGTTGCACCACTAAAAATCGAAATAGGGTTCAATCGAATTACCAGAAAAACCCCTTGCATTACCTACAGTGCATTTCTATCAAGAATAAAATCCCGCACTTTTGTTTTGGTTCAGTGGATAAATTATTTACATGAATATTTATTAAACTAAAATCAGCAATAATTTATCCTTAAGCTTATACATTTGTGTATGTGTGCGTTTTTCATTGCATAGGTGTGTGAAGCTCACGGCACAATTTGTGATAAGCGTTTTTCGGAATAAATAGATGTCACGATGTTAATTCCGCTAGACATTGAGTTTTACAAATGTACTAGAGGTCCCGCAGTAGTCGAAATTCGACTATAATTAATTGGAATTATAAGTTTGTACACTATTATGATTGTATTTTATACTTCTATATTCACAAATTTCACCAAGACTACACTATAAAAAATATTAACACAGACAAATAATATTTAATTTCAGTGTATTTAATGTATTCTCAATTTGACAACAGACGTCAATAACAAAAGTTTGACAATAAATAGTATGCATGCGTGTGTGCGTCAAATACATGGTCTGTAGTGTGTGTAATGTTTTCTTTATTGATTTAATGTATCTTTTATGCATTATTTAAAAAAAATATTCACATTGTGCACTTCTTCTCTTTATTCTGTATAAGTGTGGAAAATTTCATAATCCTCCGTACCCGCAATTTTCGTAAAAAGGGATACAAAGTTTTTGCTTCAAGTATTATACAAATGTATAATGTAAAAGCTTTCTCTTACCTTTCAAATCAGAACGTACGGTTGATACGCGCCATAAGCAGACAGGTTTGTGGTTAGCACAAGTACTATAAAATGTGTCATATAAATTAATTACCTCACGCTCTGTTGTGGTCAGTGTAAAAAATCACAAATTTTCTGTCCCCGAGCGCAGCCACCCGATTTACCTACTTTGATTGTAATTTCTAGAACTATCATCAACTATTGAACTAATCAGAAAACGTTTCATAGCGTTTCATAGCTCACTGCGAAACAAATAAATTCATTCATCATTTACTTTGAACGTGTTTAGCGTTAGACAAAACATTTCGTCTGACTCCAGCACCTTATCTAGGGCATAGTATGTGTCAAAACGAGAAAAACACAGTATACAGGATGTGCCTTTTGCACGCTACACTTTGACGCCGCGATGTGACTCGTGTCGGTGGGACATAAGTAGCTGTATTAGGGTTGAGACGTGCAGAATTACAATAGGAGCTATTTTTTCTTACTTTTATTTTGAGTATCGATTAAATAACTTACATATTATTTACATTATACTTATTTAACGGGTTTCTATGCTAAAATAATCTAAATAAAAAAAGACATGTGGCACTCGGAGACTGCCACGGTAAAGCATAGCATTTTTTATCAACTTATGCAATTATAAATCGACAATAATAATTTAATATTAAAACAACAATAAAAGAAGATCCGGCGAGAAACTCAATGAATCTGCTACGTTGTGAGTATTCCATTTTGACCGCGCACTCACTAGAGGGCGCTACATGGGATAGAGACACGCCTTTGGATGCTAGTTCTAACTCTCATTCGCCCAGAATCAACTGTTTAGCTAGTTTATTTTTAATGCTACTCCAATCACTGAATGAGTAGTAGGAGTAGTAATAAAATTCTTCGACTAAGCGATAGAAAATGGCACACCCAACGCATTGTAATGTGATATAATTTTCTATTTTACAATTCCGTTTGTCGCCGATAGATGGTGCTTGACGCAAAAGCTGAATCGCGCTATGTTATCCACGAAATTATATCACATATTTTGATAGTACATAAATCGGTGCTTAGACTTCTTACTTTAAACACTACACAAGCGCAACGTCTGAATGTGTTGAACGCGAGCTACATAGTAGGCGTAGTGAGGGGGGGAAGGTTTTTTTCGTTACAGAATTTCTTGATTCCGCTCTCAAGCCGCGCTCAAGGCCCGCGATAAAATCTATGCAATAGCTTAAAAATTAATAAAAAACTAGAAACTTAGTTTTAAGATGGGTAGCAGGATAAATTTTTGTAATCACCATATAGACGCCGATAGCTATTTAAAAAAACTTTTGAATGCTTCAAAGACTTGACCGTGTCCATCACCATAATTGCGTTATTTTACTCGTGTAAGCCCTAGAAAACGGACTGATATCTTTGGCCAGGTTAGGACATTACTCGGATTGTGGGACGGGGTCTGGCTTTGAATTTCAGTCGGAGTCGGGATCTTTGTAACATACTCTTCCAAGCTTGAGGCAGTTTATTTGTCTATTAGAACTAGAACTTTTGAATTCGTTTGGAGCCTCGGGGTCTGCGGAGGGACTTCGGTTTCCTCTGTATTTTGTACCGCATGTTCCATGGGGAGTGCTCTGAGGAATTGTTCGAGATGATACCAACGTCTCGTTTTTACCATCGCACCGCCGGCCACCGGAGTAGAGTTCATCCATACTACCTGGAGCCACTGCGGTCATCCACAGTGCGTTTCCAGAGGTCTTTTTTGCCACGTACCATCCGGCTATGGAATGAGCTCCCCTCCACGGTGTTTCCCGAGCGCTATGACATTTCCTTCTTCAAATGAGGCTTGTGGAGATTATTAAGCAGTAGGCAGCGGCTTGGCTCTGCTCCTGGCATTGCTGAAGTCCATGGGCGACGGTAACCGCTTACCATCAGGTGGGCCGTACGCTCGTCTGCCTACAAAGGCAATAAAAAAAACGTTTTTTAATAAATATTTTTTCGTCGTGTTAACTCAAAAATTGTGTAGTACACACGAAAACAAAAAATTCAAAATCGCATCTTGTTACCAACATAAGGACTATGTTAAGTCGCGTTGAGATTTCTTGTGTTTACTTCGCTGGTGTGTCTTTGGTAAATAATAAAAAAGTGTCTATGGATATGTGGGAACCCTGCCCCCACCCCCACCCCTAGGGAGAGGCGGGAGCGGGGCTGTTGTTACCGATTTTCTTGTCGAACACTTCGCTTTTTGTGGCGACTCAGATTATGTAGCTATGTGTTTTATTTTGCCGTAGAACCTGTAAAATTTCGGGTTATGCATTTTCAACTTAATTTATTTCTTTTAGGCAAGTTTCGGAAGTGACGTTTAAGATGTGGCAGTAGGCCGTATTACGAGCCAACACGAATTAGCACCTGATAAATAATAAAAATAAAAAGCCTTTTAATTTCTCGCATTTTTAAAAAGTGACGTTACAAAAATTATACGTATTTTAAATAGTACATTAATGATATTAGATACTAATTAGAATTCATAATATATAATGGATATACTATCAGTCGGGTCGCTTACATTCATAAAACTATACGAAAATATATATACATAAAAAAAATTAGCACCTTCCTTTGTATTTTTGCCACGCAGCATTTGAGAAGTGGGACTTGTCAACGTAGGTGGAGGCATTGATTTTGCCCCACACATACAACAGTATCTGGGCCATATTCATTCGTCCATCTAGTGGAAACAAAAGTGAGAAATATCAGACTCGAATAGATCTATGTAGTTTTAATGTTTAATAATGTTTAAATGTCCTTCGTTTCCTTTCATTCCTATCTTTTTTCCTTTGTCACTCTCTACTTATATGCGATTTTGATGGTGGAAACATATTTGGTTATTGATTTAGCTATTTTTTTATGTACTGTGGGTTTCCCAAATATATAAATAATTAAATTTGTGTACTTCGCGTAGCTTTTCTTTTGATCTTATATAAAATTATTTTCACACGTATACACGTGATATACGTGTAAAAACACGTAGATAATATTATCTAGATATGACATTTCCATGTCTTACGTTCTGTAATCTACGAAATATACTTCTAATTCTATTAATAGGAATAGAAAAATAATATTATACCTTCAAATCGTTAATATATCGTATTTAGCGCGAAGCTCAAAAAGTTTAGTCGTATTGATAGTTGTGGAGAAGTATTATACTTATTGAGCTCTTATTACTGGTGGTAGGACCTCTTGTGAGTCCGCACGGGTATGTACTACCACCCCGCCTATTTCTGCCGTGAAGCAGTAATTGCGTTTCGGTTTGAAGGGTGGGGCAGCCGTTGTAACTAACCTTAGAACTTATATCTCAAGGTGGGTGGCGCATTTATATTGTAGATGTCTATGGGCTCCAGTTACCACTTAACACCAGGCGGGCTGCGAGCTCGTCCACCCATCTAAGCAATAAAAAAATAAAAAACTTCAGAGGTGTCAAGGGACACCCGGATGGAACGAAGTTCCTTTCGATTAATTAGTGAAGGAATTGTAATTTTTTTTTTTAAGTTATAATAATAAACTACGGCATAATGAAGAAGAAAAAAACAATACTATGAACTAAATTACTATTGTTGAAACGCTATCTCGAGAAACTGTACTCATTACGCGCATCTAAAAAGTGTCGTGACAACTTTTCGTAAGAATTTTTTCCGTCTAGCCCCCTTTGACAACGCGCGATAAGGAACTTCGTTCCAAAAAACTAGATATATTAAACACATTTATTGTTCAGTCAAAAAGAGATACATTCAGATAGAAAGATTAAAATAGTCACACCATCGAATCGTAACGAGCGGTATTTGTTAAGAAAAAAATCTTATGTTGTTTGATGTTTAATATTTTTAACAATAGTCTATGTAACCGGAAATTATAATCGAGTGGGAGTAACCCTAAGATTGTGAGATCAACTGCGAGTGTTAACCCTTGACTTGCACCCGGATA